TAAGCATCGGTAGAATTATCGATGTACTGCTGTCTATGATGATGATGATTCACTTCATATAATTGGGTTACTAAACTTATAAGATCTAACTCCTTCATTACGTACTCTTGTCTGATTTTATTGTGTTACAAATAGATTTACATCTTTTTCAGCATGCCACGAGGCATTGATTAGTTAATGTTTCTTATTGTTTTGTTGTATGTTTTCTTTTTTTTTTTTATCATTTTTGGATTCTTATTTTTATGTTTTGTTTCCTGTAATTGAGAAATTTGTCAAGACACTTAAGTAAATAAAATAACTATGATATTCATTTTGATAGATTTAAGTCACAAAAAGCACTGAAAATTACATGTTTAGCTTGCAGGCAATCTAAGAACATCTGCAAGTTTGTTCCAGCTCATTTAAGCCATATAATTTAGCCAATTTGGCCATTAAGATGATTTTTGTTTGCATATTGACTGAACCAAATAGCAGCAGATTTAACTAGTAACACACTGCAATCTCATTGTGGAAGTGTCTTCCATTTATTACACAAATGATTTAATGCCTGTTTTTATATATTGTTTATGAAGATCTATACTGTATATGCATTATAAGACTTGCAATGAATGAAGAAGTGTTTTAATCCTACTTTTCTTATCAAAGATAACCCATATACATGACTCTAAATCATTAAATATGGAAACATGCATGCTGTAAAACATTACTTAAATCAATTAAACAGAAGCATGCAGTTTGTATAAGGTCTGTTTTCTAGTTCCGAGTGTTGTTGTTTTTCCCTACACTGTAGAGACGTCATGTTAACCTTTGAAAATTTGCATTTTTGAAGCATGTGCTTTCTAAAAATCTGTTTTCAACCATATGTGTGAAATGAGGAATTATTTAATGACAGTTTATTTAGGAATGTGTATAGAACAAGAAAAGTGGCATTTACTGTAATGGTGAGAAAGGACAATATCTTAAAATGAATATAAAAAGAAGTCTTGATAGAAATGAATAGAAACCCTATAACCCAAGCATTTTCGAAAGGTGGACCTTTTTTCTTCAGGGTTTTTATTCATTTCTAAAATTAATATATATATATATTTTTAATTGGTCATGTTTGAGTGACAGTGTCTTTTTTTTTAATTATTCTTCCATACTTTTGTTTTAGTTTTTCAGTTTAATGTTGCTATTTTTATGTAATAGGAAGGAATTTTCTAATTCAAAGTAAATAAAATAAAATAAATGGTAAAGCTATTCTGTTAAGTCTTGATTTTTTGGCTTGGAGTTCAAACTTCAAAGTTAAATATCATAACTTGTTTTCCAGTCATTATTCACCTATATTAAGAAATTATTCTCCTTCATAACTAAAACTTGTTTGATAAAGTTTGTATTGAAAAACATCAAACATATTTCTTACTCCTTTTGAAATGTATAGAAAAAGATATTCAATAATTTTCATCAGTTTCCCAACAAAAATACTTAATCTGTAAAGGCATTCAAGCTAAGTGTTAAAAAACTACTTACCTGGCCACTTGTGGAGTTAGAAATAACCTTGAAGAGACTTGTCAGTAACATTTTGAGTATGGTTTAGTGTCTGATAGATGGATCACCTGTTCTACTGAACTTTGTATAATAAAAAAAAAAAACATTTTCTGCAAACAAGCAAATGCAAAATTCTCTGCATTGAAGAATATCAAATCAAACATTAATTGTGATAGTTTCAATAGATTTATAGTTTAATGTTACTGTATGTATAGTGATGTTTTAACCTTTTCAGATATGGCCTGAGTCAACGGATCCACTAAAATTTATCTATGAAGATATAGCTATTGCCTCTTATCTCATGGTGAGTGTGAAATTGAGATTGTCAAATTAAACATAACTCTTTGAAAAAAAAAAAATGTGTATTACTAAACTTAATTTGATAAATCAGTGACTCATAATTTTGTCTGCTTTTTTTAGTTTAAGTTTTACAAGCAAATGACAGTAAGGAGACCATTTGGTCATTTTGTTTGATTTATCTGGTACTTTTTTGGAGACTGTAGTAAAAATGATTTAGATTATTTCTGAATTTTGTTATTGATAAAATAATTTGTTTAGAATTAACTTGCTATTAGTTTTATGCCACTTAGACATCAATTTGAGTCTAATCCTGTGTTATTCTTAGATTCAATGCAAATATTATAACTTGTACATCCTAAAGGGATGCATTTTACTTACTGAATATCTTATAAACAGTGGACATGACAGTATATGTAAAAATTATTGTTTTAGTCCACTGAAAGTTAGAAAACTCGGTAAAAAAACCCAGAAAGTTAAACTGACCAGACAAGTAATTTTGCCATGTCTTAACCCAGTGGATATTGGGTCAAAGTGAACTTGTCATGACCTTTTTACAGAGTTTCATAGTTTATAATTCAAATTTTTATATTATCCAAGTCTTAATTTCCAATAGAAATATTTAGACTTTCAATCTGTACCTTTGTGATTTGGTGACATTATTACTTCACATTGAAAAGTGTTGTTTTTTTTCTATTCTTCTATAAGGGCTTCAAGTTGCTCAACCAATTAGAAACACATGCTATATATATTAGCAAGTCAAAATATTAAATTTCAAAATCTTCCTGCTTTATTGAGGTGTCACTATATTTGTTCAACCAACACTGACATGCTTCTCCCATATCATCTGTCTTTTAGAAATGTCAATAGTTCTCTCTAACATTGCTATTGGGCATGCTCATAACCAATAGAAAAATGCAAAATCTACATTACATAAGAGAGCATGTTGTGTTGATGCTAAAGACATTGCTCTGAGTAGTAATGGAATTTTTTAAACCTATTTATAGCTTGGTTAGAAAGCCAGATAAATTATAGTAGTTTTAGGACATTTTTTGTAATATATTTTTTGTGTTCTGAAATGCATATTTGAAAGCTACATAAATTATTTTTAGACAACCTGTGAGAAAAATATAGGCTTGCTAAACCATGCACCTGAGTGCAGAAAGCCTTTAGGCTAAAGTAAGTGTTAAATTTCTTGGTTTTATGTAATTTTATATATATATTAGAAAAAAGTAACTAAAACATAAAAATTATAGACTTATTAAATTAGATACGAAAATGTAAATGAATAATAAATTTAAAAAAAGTCTCCTTGAGGAATGCACACTGACTGCCATTGTGTGATGTAACTTGATAGCTTGTATACTCTAAACTTTCACCAGCTGATTTATTGTTTTGTTACACTATTGTTTCAAAAAGCAATAAAATTAAATGAAAGTAGATGTGAAACTGTTAGGAGCCAGAGGTTATTTAGGATAAATAATTGTCTGTTACTAACTGCAGTCACTCTAGAAAAAAAATGTACTTTTGATTTTATTTCATATTTTTCAACTATTGTTACAGATGATTACAGTACAGTTAGTTTTAGGGTAGAAAAAATAAAAGATAAAGTATACGTTTTACCAAAAAAACAACAACTTGATATTCAGTTACAAGGTTCTAGAGGTTATGCAAATGTAATATGAAACTATAAAATGAAAAGAAATATCTTATTCTTAGCATGAAAACTATCTTTCACTAAGACCGACTCAGTAAAGGTTTTGTAAATTCAGACATATTTTTAGTAAAAAAAAATACTTTATTAGAAATCAGATTTTTTGTGTACAACAGACTCATGATGTTTATTAAAAACCTGCCACATATTTTGTAAATGTACACTTAGTAAATTTGGAGTTTTGTATAGATACATGGTGATTACAAGATCTCTTCGATTGTTTGAGCCTGTATCCAGAGGGTTAACTGATGTATCACAAAAGTAAATTGAGGACAAAAGAGAAAAACGTTTATGTTAAGATGACATATTTTTTCCTTCATTCAGAAATTACAATAATAGCTTAGGAGTTATGGATTTAATACAAATTGTCTCGGTGCTCGGTTCAAACAAATGTACATTACTGTGAGTCACACTAATACCTATTGCTTTATTTTCTTGACAATAAAAAGTATAATCAAAATAAAATTTACTCATTGGTAGGAAATACTATAATAAAATCATGTGCATTGGAATAATATTTCACCAAAGGATTCTAGTATTTAAGGTTTCTTGATCAATAGGAGCTACTAAACTGCCCTCTGGTAGTAGGAATTTAAATCTTTTAAAAAATCTGAGAAATTTCTCAAATCTCAAAGAATTTAAGGGCAAAATGCATTAGTTTTAGATAACAAAAAAAAATTACAAAAACCCAGATCCTTTCAGTGAATCTATTTAAAACTGAGTCCACAGGATGGCCTTCCTCAAGTAATTTTGAAAACAAGCAGGTAAAGAGTGAATCATCTTAGTATATGAGAAACTACTCAATGTGAAATTTGTTTGTCATCTACTTTCATTTACTTTCTAAATCAGAATTTCATTTTGTCTACATAGCTACATTTATTATATATGTATTTTAAAACTTCTCCACCATGACTCAGTAGATCAGGATTGAAAAAAATGTACATTATTAAGTGTTTTGGATTGAATTATCCTATTGGTTTTGTTTTTACTTTAAGGTTCTGTGGGAACAAGAACGTATAGAACTTGGTCTGCAGAAGAAACAGTCTTTTGTAGATCTGGGTTGTGGTAATGGACTGCTGGTGTATATTCTAACTCAAGAAGGGGTATGGAAGTAATACTGTTTATGTTAATATTTTACGGTCAATTAAAAGTCAAATACGTTATCAGAGAGATTATGTTTAAAGGTTTTCATAGCAAGTATGCAAAACATGATTCTTATATTGTTAGAAAATTCTTATTACTTGATATAAACATGTATAAAATTGATCTTTCTTTATTCAAAATATACTTTTCAACTAGAGAAAATTATATTAAATTGCATGATTATGCTCAGTTTATCAGAGTGACAAGAGTAAAAACTATATTTAATAATAACTTTACAGTATCCAGGATTAGGAGTTGACTTACGAAATAGGGGTATATGGGATATTTATGGACCAGAAACTCAGCTGAAGGTGAGTTAATTTTAACTTATTTTTATTTTAAGCATAATTAATTTACATAGGAATGATGAAATATGCTGTAAAGCAGAACAATGAAGTGATGGAATATTTAAAACATATCTTATTTAAAGTGGCTTATATGACTGAAATTTTACTCCCTCAGACTGTCACATAGTAAATGTATTTATTTTACACTGTCAGGATTTAAAAATATTAGTATTATATATATAACTTGCTTTTTTGCCAATTGTCAAATAGAAAGGCTTTTAGTTATATTTTTTAATAGTATAAAT